CTTGGCGCCTTTATAAGGCAAATTCACCGTTTACGCTATGAATCATCAGTTTTCTACACGGCAAGCATGTAAACCAGTAGTTTTACTCACTATATTCAATATATATTGTATTATATACTAATTTCTCATCCAAACATAAAGCAAGCTTCGGAACACTGCCCAAAAGTTTTCAGACGCGCGCGGCCATCTCAGAAATCCCCTATGCTCTACCTCTTTGTGTTGTCTCCATTCCAGTATCGCTTTCCTTTTGATTTCTTTTAAGTCCATATATTCCAGGAACCAGTCGTGATGCTGCCGTACTTCGTCTGGACTCTTACCTGGTATTGACTGTCCTGCGACATTTAGGAAAGCTTCCTTGTTCTAAAACACAAAATAATCGACCAATATATTAAGGAAGCGAGTTAGCATAGCCAATTTTTGTGCTGTGAACTTCCATGTACAGTCAACTCTCGCCATTACGGACACCCTCGGGACCATAATGTAGTGTCCGCAGTAGCGAGAGTCTGTAGTAACGAGAGTTACTTTCAGTCATATCTTTGTATTTTTCGCCGGGGAATCAGTATTTTATTGTCCATAATATCGAGGTGTCCGTTGTAGCGGGGTGTCCGTGAGGCGAGAGTTCATGTATGTGAAAGAGACATCTATGATAATACATGTATTTCTGCAATAGCCTAGAGGTACCTTGTGTTTGGCCTTTAGCTTCAAGAACAGTTGATGGTCATAATCGTCCCATCCTCCTTGATGACCACCAGTTTGAAGAACAAATTTCTAAACAATCAAAGAATGAAAGAAAGAATGATATTATAAATTTTTACTGTATCAGAATTTCATGGTCGCTCTATGTAAAAGAATCTGGAAAATCTCAGATTCTCAGAATTACGGAATTTTTTGAAAACCTTCAAAGATGTTATTTGCTATTTAATTTTACCTCAAATGCTGCAACTGCAGGAGGCATGGATGTCGCCACAACAGCATTTGCTGCTTTCTTGTTGGTTACAGCAGCAGTTGTGGGTGCTGGCAGCTGTGACCAGGATTCAAATTTTTTCTCAAGTGATTTAATCTCTTGTTGTGTTGTCCTTTCACCATGTATTAAATCATCATAACTTAAAAAATAATTAATAAAAATGTCAATTATTTGAAGAAATTCTCAGTCAACATTTCCCTATCTTTGTATACAGGGTATCTAATACTTCAAGATTAACCCTTTAATTTGCTGTTAGACTTCGCATTATGATTTAATAACACTTTATAATTAATAACACTTTATAGTTAACTATTTGTACCAAACATTTGGTCGATTTGCATTCATAGTGAGAAAAAGTCACATGCCATTACCCATAGTGCACCATTACCCATAATGCACCATTACCCATAATGCACCATTATCCATAATGCACCATTACCCATAATGCACCATTAACCATAATGCACCATTAACCATAATGCACCATTATCCATAATGCAATTGATTTAACATCAGAATTTTTGCTAATGACGAATGTACATAATATGTATAAATCCAATCATCTAAAATGCATGATGTATATTCTTACATTTTTCTTTGTTGTTCTTTGAAGACCATAATACAATTTTCAATATCTTCCATCATTTCTTTCAATTTTTGTACAACTGCATACATTCACAATAAAGATAAAATATTATTTTTTGGCTTAGGCTGAATGTCATACATGTAGTTAYGAAATATGCACACAAAGGACTGGTTAACATTGGTACGATTGTTGCAAGCGGCTTGTAGTATACAATTTTACTGCGACAAGTAATAGGATTTGGAGCCATGATGATTTTAAGGGCATTTTCACAGCAAGACTTGGGGCTTTATTGAGTCTTATAAGTACATTCAAGTCATACACAACAATGCATCATTTAAATCTGTCTTTAGTTTCAYRGCAGACAACAGCTTRRAAGTTTATGCACCATAAATAAGTTTGATAAAAATAAATACTCACAGGCCGGTGTTGGTTTGACATCAACAAGCTCTCTCTGAAACTTGTCAACATTGATTTTTATCTTGATTAACTGCTGCTTGATAGTTTGTTCTATTYTGAARGAAAAACATGACCTCATATCAYCAACAGACTAAATGAACAGTCTGAATCTGTATATTTGAGCAGCGATTTTGTGTGACACAGTGAGCCCTCAAGAAGAATATCCCTGACTGCCTAGGAATTAAACTAAAGGAACTTTGGTCTGCAAGTACAGTASTATCCAGMCTCTAYTAGCCTGCYTRCAACCGAACCAAAACTGTTGGTTTGGCTGCACACAAGCTACAATCGTTGCCAAAATACCTTGGACCGTACAATTATATGTCTCCAGCCTACCATTTTTCTCCATTATTTTTTCACAATTTTCCCCRTTAGCCACCTTTRATCAATGTTGGGTCTTTTTTTGGATGCTTGTGTACTATGGTAACATGATCAWTGACAACATTGCATTTAGGGGGTCAGGGGGGATGAAATMGTCTGCGGGTGTTGCTTTAAATGAGGAAATTCGCTGGAATGGTCCAAGAATTTTGTCAARYATTGTAGCCTCTAGCAGAGTTGACAAGACTTTGGGCTTCCTGTGGCAGAGAAATAATGAGAGGGAGGGGTACAGGTAACAACTGGGAGTAGAGACTAGGTGCAGCACAGAAGAGTCAATCTTTAATTTGCAAGTCATAAAAAACATGTTATGTTATGTTTTCTAAGTGTAACTTACTTTCCGTCATTCTTTCAGATGATGTCTTCATTTCAGATTCTTCTAAGCTGGAATATTCTTTTCTAAAATCACTACGTCGACTGAACATCATTGTATTTCTTTCCTTTTCTAAAGCAATATATCTAGCAAAAAGAACGAAAAAATCGAGAAAAGCTTACAGTACATCCTTCCTTTCTTTAAATCAACTTTCTTCTATATAGACACATGCGTACTGCAAACTTATTTCTAAGGTTATTTCATTCAATTATCATATCATACATTGAATAAACTGCATTTTCTGAATAATATTTCGTTCGTTTCAACTTACTCTCGTTCGAGTGAATCCAGTTTGTCAAAAAAATCATTTTTCTTTCGACCTAGTTTTGGGACTTGTTGTCGCTCTTGTTTCACATTCCTCGGTCCTTCTTGAACAGGAGACGTATCACCAAATTTAGAAGCCATTATGAGTAATTATTTGAGCATTTCGTTAAAGAAAACTTAAAAGTTTATAAACAATACGAAAGTCGCGATGTCGACCGCCATTTTATTTTCGTGATTAATAACATGAGGGTTTAACGTAAGGTGATCAGCGGTTTTGCCCATTAATTTTCTGCTTTACCGGCAAACAAAATGGTGAGAAACTCGTTCAATTATTTGACTTTTTTAACTACTTTCAAATACTTCTATGAAGATCAATTCTCTTATTTATCTTTTTTGGCTATTAATCTAGACATTGATCACAAAAAATCTTGCGTTTGTTTCTGAGTTTGAATATTTTTTGCGATTTTTTCCATGTGACATTTGCTGAGTCATTTTTCTCGATAAAAAAGGATTTCTTGCTTCAATTTTAACGTGTTTTGTCTCATTTATAGTTTCGTAATCAGTACGATAATGATGTTACTGTGTGGAGCCCTCAGGTAAGCATTTAGTGAGAAACTTTTTGGCGCCATCTCTTGTGCGTCCATAGACTTCCGCTGGATTTTTTTTCATGCATGGTCCATATAAGCTTATACATACATGTGCAAACTCTCAGACTGCCAGAAAGTGTTCAAAAACTTCTTTGTTATAATTTTGTCTTGTGTTAATTTAATGTCCTGAATAAATGAATTGCTTTTAAACGTTTATAAAGGTTTTTAAGGTGTGTAGTCTTTTGTACAATGCCAAAAAAATTGACTGATGAACAAGAGAATATGATATTAATTAACGATCCCATGTTGACTTCCAGGGCCGAATCCATCAAATTGAATATGCTATGGAGGCTGTCAAACAGGTAAAGAGGATGATTTGTATTATTTATTTGCTTAAGTTAGTCAATGTAGTCACTAAAATAAGCATGTAGGGCAAAATATCAATGAGGAGATATCCCTGCATTGTTCTTTAATAAAAGRCTTCTCTGTGACYTTTTTGAAAAAATCCAGAAWCAACAAAAATCTTGGAAAGCTAAAATCTTGGACTCTACAAATGAAGTGTAACTAGTAACTCATCCTTGTTATGTTTGTAATTTTTGCTCTTAATGAACCCTTATTCTCTTGCTTCTTTCCTAGAAGTCTGATTATCATATAATGGATGCAGTGATTTAATGAATCAAATTTTATTTTGTTTAAAGGGCTCAGCTACGGTGGCCTTGAAGTCCAAGAGTCATGCAGTTCTAGTTGCCCTCAAGGTATAGATTGTGTWATGRTGAATATSTTGTCAGTGTAAAAAGAAAAATTTAACACRGTAACCAAGTMGGTGAAACATCTTTCTGGCGTTTCGGARCTTAATTCTTTCTCGGAGTAAAGAAATGCTGAATATATTTAAAAAATATTTGAATAGATCTTTATTTAATCTTTTTTTGTTTTTTTATATGCAGCGAGCTCCTTCAGAGTTATCAGCTCATCAGAAGAAAATCCTTCCAGTTGACAGTCACGTTGGTATTTCAATAGCYGGTCTCACTGCAGATGCCAGACTGTTAAGGTATACCAAGTAAACCCACAATGCAATGCTTCAATAAATAAATACACAGGGATCCCATGTATTAGTGGGACTATTGAATGAATGAATGGAAGAAAAATTACAAAGAGAAAAAAAAGGATTGGTGAAATGGTAACTACCTAGTAGAAAAGTGAAAAAGGAATGAAAATATGAAATAAGTAAATGAGATAAAAGAAAAGGAATCTTTAAAAGAAATGTACTTACATTACTGTAAAGAAAAG